AGGTAGTTTAACTTTGCCTTATTTCCGGTGTCGTAATTAAGCTAGTTTAAATTGTCCTAGTGAAAACACAGCCTAAATCTTGCCACGTAATCTTGTGTCCGGATGTACCTGATTCCCGACTAACGCTATCAAGAAGCTTCTCGAACTTTTACAGTCCTCCTATAATTCAATACTACTGCCATTCGGCTTGACTTTGATTAGTGTTATCAAATCAATCCAAGATTTTCGTAAACGAATTCAGATGATTAATACCCTTTAGTTTGATCATTTTTCAGTTCCTCTTTTACGCCCATCAACACGTTGCCACCCCTAAGTTCGAGTGTTTCAGAAGAAAACGATAAATCAACAGTTTTGTGGTAGTGATTAAGGACAAAATATCTTATCAAACTGCCCTTTGGCGAACTCGTGTGTGCTAGTTGCACTTTTCAGATATTGGGCTCYCTGTGCCCCTATGCTTGTTGAATTACTTTAATTGATATTATATAATAGAACATACAATCATTTGTTATACAAGGAGAAAATCAACTCTTATCCATCAAAATTCAGYATTTTTCCGATTCCGCTAAATCGGATAACTCTAATAAGCCTTCATTTGTTCTTAGTTTTTGAAACCATGAAGCATTTTTTTTAAAAAAGAAAAAAAAAACATTCTACTGAGATCTGCTAGATAACAACCTTCCCTCCAGTTATAAGTAATATACCAAAATTGGTTTCTATTCAAAAGCACCTTAGCCTTGCATCGCGGTTCCCTGTAGATCGTATTGGTCGCTTTAACGATACAAGAGATCGAGTGCGCACTAAGGGCCGAGTGTAATCTACGAGTGTAATCTATTAATGTGAACTGAACTTCTCATGCGCTAACGATTTACAATCTATCACCCGCGTATTTCCAGCTAGTCTAGAAACATCTACAAACAATTTGTGGAATAAAACAAAAAAAGAATCTAAAAACAAGTTGTCATTATTAATATATCTTATGACTGAGCATGCGCATATTTGAGAACAAGTCCCACATGGAAATCGTGCAGTAATATCATAAGTAGGATRCGTTGTAATCGATTTATTTGCAAGGACATTGAGTTGGCCCTGAGGGAGACTAGGCATTGTATTCTAAATGTAGGGAAATTTAGTAAAAGACAAAGGATTTCTTTGTCTTCTAAATTTCCCKCACGTTCTTTGCATGCGGGAAATTCGGGTTTGTAAAGCCCTAGGAAGACAAAAGAATCAGAGGTGATCATGGTATTACAATTAATAACMTTTATTAGAATATCAATTAAAGTCAAGTTTAAATTACCTCTTGCTGTTTGCCTAAATAGCCTAGCAGGTCATAGCATAAGCAAGCCCTACCGTCTCTTATTTACAGAAAAGTCATCGATTGCTATTAAAGATAGTATGTCATATAGTCTAGAAGTCTGCCGGTCGGCCATCARAATATGAAACAGTCTTTTCAATCATAGTTAAAACATTTGACTTTCGGATACGACTGACCATTTGAAATGAATTGTCGCCCTGCTGGATAGCTCGGTAGTATAGAAACGTTTAATTTTTTTATGGTAAAAGAACTTTCCATACATATATATATTTATTCATCTGCCTGGTTACTGTTCCTTATACAGTATTTATCCCTCTGTGGATTATGTCTGTGGATTATCGTCAACCTGTCGACATGCAAAATCCAAAATCCAAAATGTTCCTTATACAGTATTTATCCCTCTGTGGATTATGTCTGTGGATTATCGTCAACCTGTCGACAGCTGTAATGGACTTTTCTAGTTCTGTATAAAGGCAGAATTTCAATTTTGGGAATAATCCGAAATCAGACGAAGAACATTTCAAAAAGGACACATTTACAATACAATAATTTACTTTATCCCTGAGGTCTCCCTAAGGACGTTATGACTTTGTTTGCGCGCATCCTTTCTACGCGTGAACTTAGTGCATGTGCGCTCGACTTGCATTGATGAAGCCATTTCAATGAAAACGTTTTTARCCTCTCATAGTTCTAAAACAAAGCCAGGAACCCCTTTTTTAAGTCGAGTTTTGAAAGTGCTTCAATTCGTAATATCCAACTTTAGAGTATARAAAAAGAATCTGACGATGGGATAAAATCGAAACTACATATTTCATGTATAATTTGAATAGAACTTCGCGTAACGCAAAAGCTTCATTGTAACCCAAAACATTTTATATTTCTATTTTTTTAACAAAAWCTTTAATTGGTGCTAACTACTTAATTATTTGGTTATTTTCTAGAGCTCTGTGAAAAAATGGCCTGGGGACGATCAATTTTTTTTTCTCRGTTAAATAAGGCTTATATTTGACAGCTTTCCTGTTTCGGGTTGTYGCGCGTTTTTACCCTCAAAAGGTGAACTTCCACGTAATCCGACGGGGAAAATGAGGAAAATTTGCTTATTTTACTTCTAGTATGATGTATTTTCACCATACAAAATTTTWAAAAAKCTGACGATGGGATCTTTTGCCCAGATGAAACATCTAGACGTTTGAGTAAGATACGGCCATTGCCATTTCCACTTAAAATTGGTGTTTCACTTCGTATGTCTTACGTCCTCAGTTATTTTGTGGGGAGGGAAACGTTGCGTGACGACCCTAAGAACGGCTGCGAAGGAGGCTAGTCCTCAGTCGATTTGACATGACCTGTCAGGCTATCAAAAATGCGTTTCCAATTATCTTATAGCAATCTTATAAGTCTTGATTTTCAAAGTCAAATGCATACTTAATGATAATAATAAATCATATTTATATAGCGGATCCTAAATCCTCGATACGCTCTAYAAGAAACAACTCATACTTCATATAATAAATAACAACAGGGAAAAAAAGGTTATCTCATTTAATTTAAATCAAATCAAAGGTAGTTTCATAAAGAGGAAAAAGAGTTAAGCTAAGGCAAARCGTTTGGAGAAAATAATCTATCGAAGAAAGTCTGAGGATACTAGAGAGTCAGTTTTATATTGACTTTTTTTCTYCCCGCAAACGGCAAACGTGAMCACGTTTTMATCGTTTTCCTGTAYTTTACTTTACCTTTTACAAACCTTCTCACCAAAGACAAATATTCTTTTGTTTTTCTACTACTTGGACTTTTTTGCGATTCTTTTTAAGCTATTAAAAATAATTTTAAATGGTCAACTGACGTTTCACGTTTGCCTCGATCGAACGTAAATCTAAAACTTTCTACTATATATTTTCCTACGGGGTAGATGAACAACAACAACATTCATAGACCCATTTGGAATATTTGCTCTTTTCGGTCTYTTTCCTCTCTTTCCAAAKCAAAAGGTTGTKCTTAAAAGTAAAGTHAYATAGCACAAGTAAACTGCGCGACAAAACATCCTAAATGACCCTGTAAATGTTATGTTCTATCGCTAACTCCTAGTAAGCGTGCTTTCGAGGCTACGAGTCCTAAGAAATCATAAGAGGTGAATGTATAGGCCAACAGATAGTATGAGCTTATAAAATCATCAAAAATACGGTTCTAAATTTTAACAAATTCCTATGAATTATATACCAAAATGTTCAAGAAAGCGCGGAGTTTTCAAATCCACTTCTATTCAGTTCTTTGACAGGTTCTGTTTTATTTCAAGGAGAGACGATATTCTAGCTTGACCCCCGTTATGTCATGCATTTTGTCTTGTAAAATACATCCAATAGCGTACATTCAACGATCAAAAAGTATGATGGTTTTTTTTTTTTTTTTTTTTTTTTTTTTATTTTCTCAATAGAATTCATTCTAACCCATATTATACAGTTCGTGAATAGTTGAATTAATTGAATCCACTTCTTTCTTTTTTTTTTTCCTAGATAGTCAATATTTTGAGAAAAGATCCAAAAACCGTGTTTTTGAGACATAATTTGTGTGGGCCCACATGAGGGGGTGTGAGCTTGAAATCGTAGCTGACCAAATGTTAACAKTTTTTTCTGATGTGAATATTACCTCGAACAAGAGCTGCTAGATAAAACTTTATAATCACTAGCAAGTTTCTTCTCTCCGGAAAATAGAGATTGCCATTGTTCAAAAACAATGCAAGTCCGCTTTCTTCAAAAATGGCTGGGAAATTCAGGTGCTTAATAACCGTCGGAAGTAAAACACCGAAACGTTGACAATACAGTAAAGGAAATTTTAAAAAAACAACTCTGGAATAGAAAAGGGCTCACAGCTTCCCTCTATAATTCCCATAATCGATATTTCTGCATTGAAAGGAAAGCGAAAGTGAGTAGATCCCGTGATAGTTAGTCAAGGCGCGCAAAGCATGCTAGGTAAGCATTCTACTTTGTTTTGTAAGTACAGTTGACTTTTTGCTCAGGTTATTTTTTTCCGCGCGCGCTCTCTGAATTCTAACTTAAATCATAGGAAAAGTCAAGCATTTTTCGTTAATAAAATTTTGGATTACTGTTTTATATTTTTATTAACAGGTCTAAATGTAGTATGTGAGTATTACGAGGGTTTTTCTCCGTGTTCCTCCATTTTCCTTAGCAAAAATCAGCTCCTAAATTCTAATCCCATTTGTTTGTTTCGTGTCACGCAGCATGTCGATACTACTGCCATGTAGTTTTTAAAATAGATTGAGCTTAGAAATATATACACATTTGTCAGGTGTTACCGTATCGTATCGTACAGTATGATAAGATACCTGCTATATGTATATAAAATAAATAATATATGTGGCTAGTCGATCGCCAGTAAAATCTAAAGACGAGTGAGTCCGACCCACGAAACAGTTYTGTAGAGAACAAATTATGGTCGTGTGATTTCTACACTTAACACATATATATAGAATAAATAATATATATATACAACTATTTCAAAGAACATTGTCGGTCAGAGATCTAAAATCTGTAATCTGAGATCGAGTAACATGTTTCAAATTGTAATATATTCACAGTCTAACAACGTAGTTTCCTTTTAGTTTGGAATATCAAGCATAATCTTTGGATTAGAAATGTGATCTTTTTGTATTTCAGCAAGAAAATATAAAGGCACAAAAATTTCGTTTCATCTAGGTTCCCCCATTTCAGAACTCCAATTTACAACTTTTTTTTTGAAATAGGTGTATATTGGTTTAATGATATAAATATTAAAATCATTAGATGAAAGTTTTGCTTATCGCCTCTTACCTCAGTAKCTATCAGAGTTATTTGGCTCTTTTTTCCTTCAAGATCGTTAGGCCTTCAGAATTGATTCTAAAGCGGCTTGAAGCTTGCTGTATTAACGTCAATAGTGAAGACAGGAAGAACTAAGAAAAATGACAAGTGGAGATAAATAAGACGACAACGGTAACAATTGGTTACTATCAATAGACGTCACGTGCGGTAGGTAATCTCTATCTTTTGAATGGAGGAGGAACTAAGGGGGAGATTWAAAATATTTGTAAGCTTGGTCAGTGGTTCTTAGAAGCTGTATATTTATCTTGATTTCTGGTTCGGGCCGTAGAAATAGTGAGACTTGTTTTGAAATGTTTTGGGTTATCAGTTGCTAGTTGCAACTACTACTACTACTACTACTACTACTACTACTACTACTACTACT